TTTCAGTACCTCATTTTGGACGAAAATTAACTCCATATTAAACGTTTTTATTTAACATAGGATAATTTAGCTATGTATATACCAAATTTCATGTCAATTCAAGCAGGTTCTTTAATATACAAAAACCGTGAATAAATGGACTAAAAAGGAAATGAAATTTTTCCAAACATCAATAAATTAAAATATTGATTCCTCTTACCTAAGCTATTTTTACTTTTGATTAACAAATACTTTGTTTTTTGATACTAAAAGTTCACTAAATACTGTAAAAATTAATACTAAACATTTAAACTAAATTCTAAAACATAACACTACCAGTAAATAACTTAACAATAACTATAACATGTAACACACAATATATTAACTTAAAAACCAACACGCCAAAAATACAATTTGAATTTAAAGAGACTGACAAGTTTGGACCTGTGAAATGAGAATCCGTCTGGCTTAAGGTAATAAATTATATTTAATAGCCTCTTGACGAATGAGAGGGCAAATATCAACAAGTGCGTTTGTTTATAGTTGGGAATTTTCTGACCTAATGTTCCATAATTTATCTGTGAACTAGTGATATGCCGAATCGGCGTTAACGCAACTTTCGGGTGAAGACATAGCATCATAATTATTTTGATTATACACTTGTGGTGAGTCACTCCAGGATAGTGGACGTGAGTCAGGATAGTCCCCGTATTTTTTCCGTGAATCGGGATCGACTTCAAAAACTTTGGCGATCGACCGGTCGATCGCGATCGACCTTTTGAGCACCACTGCTTTAAACCGTGTGTTGAATCTATGGCAATTATGTTTTCACAAACTTCTCTAATATATATGTCTGTGATTTATTCATAATTATTAAACAGAAATCATTCTGCTCAAGATTATTATGTTCAATGCCTTGTATTTTATAAAATATGACAGCATTTTCCTCAAAACTTCGTTGTTCTTGCACCCACATGTCCACACTGATAGCATAATTTCCATTTATACTACCATCATCTGATATGCTTATACCATAAGAATTTTTGATATTGTATATATCTTTTTTTGTTAATAGGTGAATTCTGTGCACATCAGTTTCAACAATGTGATCTCTATTTTGATTCAGTATGCTGTAAAATATTTTAAATTATAACTGATGTAAAATATGTGCTATTACACACTTATGGTCAGTAGACCGTCACGTGAATATACAGGGTGAGTCATGAGGAACTTTACATACTTCTTCCATATGTAGAGTCCCTCAGGGAGCATATCATGTGGCCACTAAAAAATGTCAACTCTATATACACTACAGTAAAATTTCATTTTACTGTAGTGTTTATACGGCTTATTTGTTTTTTTTAATTTTTGCATGGTACAGTACACTACTATCAAGCATTCGACTGGTATTAGCTAAACTAAAAAATTCCAGGACTGGCTTTGGGAAAATTAATTTAGGGATTCGTATTAAATATTACACCATGTATATATTTTTTTTAAATGCAATTAGTGATTTTCAAACTACATAAATAGCCAATGAAAACGACATATACGACAATGTTGTCGCACTTTTACTAAATTTTTAGTGAACGATCAAATCTTACCAAAAATAGAACAACCATAATGAAGTATCAAATTATAAGGTAATTAATTAAACAAACGAATATAAATTTCAAACATTTTAATTGAAATGATAAACTGAGTCACTGCACAACAAAAAACAGTAACTACTAACAATAACGAAGAACAATTAAAAAAAAACTAAAAATATGTACATAGTTATGATAAACCCATAAATTAGAACTGGAAAAGATACAATAATGGTAACAAAATAAAAATAATTCAAAATAGATTTTCGAAATGGAATCCTGCAGCCTGTACACATTTTTGTTGCCAAATTGTTAATTGACGTTTTGAATTACGGATACTCTGGGGATCGTTTCTAATAGTATTACGACAATATATAATTCTATCAATTATTTGTTGTCGGTTATTAATATTCACTGCGTAAACCAGTTGCTTCAATCGTCCCCAAATATGGTAATCAACGGGATTGAAATCAGGGGATCTTGAAGGCCACGAAATAGGACCTTCACGTCCTATCCACCTGTTGCCATAAACATCATTGATATGTTGTCCCACTGCCAGTAAAAAGTGTGGGGGGCCCCATCATGCTGAAAATACATCTCTCGGATAGCAACGTTCGCGTTGGCAAGCAAATTCGGCAAAATATTTTATACAAAGTTCAAATAGACCTGCCCTGTTAAAGGACCATCAAACAAGTGAGGACCTACTAATTGGTTATTTATGACACCAATCCACACGTTAACCGAAAACCTAAACTAAGAACGACGTTCTCGAATAGCATGGGGATTTCCTTCTGCTCACACATGTGAATTTCGTAAATTATTTATCCCGTCTCTGGTAAATTGGGCTTTATCTGTAAATAGTGTCCTGTATAGCGTTGGTCGATTATTGTTAATCCATCTTCAAAATTCCAACCTATCGATCTCATCTCCAGCATGTAGTCGCTGAACCATTTGAATGTGATATGGGTATAGATTATTTTTTTGTAAGACTCTACTTACTTTTGATTGAGTAATATTGAGTTCTCGACTTACTTGCACTTCATCTATATGTCGCTCTATTGTTCCACTAGGAAAAGTGCTATTTTCTCGCAAATTATTAAAAACTGACCCAAATGTTGGATGACTGAGAGTTCGACGATTAGGAAATCTCCTGCGATATTCTCTACTAGCAGCCCTACCATTTCCATTACAGAATCCATAAACAAATATTATGTCTGCATATTCTGTGGTCGAAAACTGATGTGGCATTTTGAACGAAAGTAACAAAAGCTCTACCAAAACTAACACAATGTACTTAACGTAGATATGACAGAAGAAATATGTATTCTTGTACACATAAATAACAATTGATAATGACAATAATGACAATGGGTATAAAATATCAAGAAACGTCAAACGGTCAAAGCCAACCTTCATTTTAAACTTTTTTAGATTTATTTTTATTTAGTACAGTTGATGCAATGTATTATTATTTGACATAAAATTTTAATCGATGAAAATCGATGAAAATTTTAATAATGCCCCACTACGATCTATGAGTAAAAATTTAAAATTGAAAAACAATTGATTCTATCGTAGAGATAATACAAAGTGACAGTAAAGATGATAATTTTCTACGTATTAGATCATGTTGTAGGAAATCATTTTAATTAAAATGTTTGAAATTTATAACATTTGTTTAAATTAATACCTTATAATTTGATACTTCATTATGGTTGTTCTATTTTTGGTAAGATTTGATCGTTCACTTAAAATTTAATAAAAGTGCGACAACATTGTCGCATATGTCGTTTTCATTGTTATTTATGTAGTTTGAAAATCACTTATTGCATTTAAAAAAAAAATACATACAGGGTGTAATATTTAATACGAATCCCTAAATTAATTTTTCCAAAGCTAGTCCTGGAATTTTTTAGTTTAGCTAATACCAGTCGAATGCTTGATAGTAGTGTACTGTATCATGCAAAAATTAAAAAAATCAAATGAGCCGTATAAACACTACAGTAAAATGAAATAAATGGTCAATTACACAAATCACCCTGTTAATTAATAAAGAAAAGGAGTTGACATTTTTTAGTGGCCACATGATATCCTCCCTGAGGGACTCTACGTGTGGTAGAAGTATGTAAAGTTCCTCATGACTCACCCTGTATGTGCTAGTAAGTTACTTAGAAAGAGATTCTCCTGTTTGCAACTTGGTTTTTATCTGTTTTTGATAAATGCAAATGTCGAATTTCATTGTCATCGTGGTAGTGACTTTTGTAATATGTAACCATACATTTTCCATTATTTAGTTGGTTTGATATAATTTGACTTGCAAGAAAACAATAGTTTTTCTGAACCTTACATTTTTGGCAACCTTTTTCTGACCTCATCCTGAATAATGTTTCCTACAATATTGAAAGTATTTAGTAAAACATTTATTATTGAAAACGTTTTATATATTACATTTCTTATAGCTTCTATTCCAGTGGTAATAAGACATTTTAACAGTACCATCATCAGTTTTACTCAATTTGCGTCCTCTAACCAATCGTCAAACTCTAAAAATATATTTTATTATTTTAATAACACAATTTGTTGTACAAATACTTACCTTTAGAATCATTAATAGTAATCTCTATCATTTCTATTACTATGTTGTGTTTGTCCTGTGGGTGTGTTCGTAAAGAAATTGCACATTCAAAATACTTCAAATTAAACACACTTAACTCATAACTTATTATTTCAGTATTTTTCTGGTTGTGAACTTATTTATTATGTCTATTCAAGCATGATTAACTGAAGAGAATTTTTTTACAAATTTACACATAACAGCCATATTAAAAAAAAAAAAGAAAATCGCAGTTCCCTGATTACAATTGATTACAACAGCTTTACTTAAATAGCAATCATTTAAATGATTATGTTATGATTTTTCTCAGTCTGTCTTCGTCGTAACTATTACGGCACGGAGAGCTCTCGATAACCGATCCTAAAATGGCAACTTGTTACTGTAATATCAAGAAAATTCCTAGTTTGCAGATTTTAATTGTAATTTTAAGTACAGTTAATTTAAAAATTACGGCAGTATGGATAATGAATGTTTGCTTAAAATAGCTTTTTGGATGGTTAATCATTTACCGTAGTTATTTTGTACCTAAGTTTAAAAATTATTACACAGTACCAAATTTTAGGCAAGTTACCAAGTAAGTTATGACCTGGATTCGTTTAAGTATAGTTATGAAAAATTTACTACTTTCTTTGGAATTTTAACTAGATATCATTAAAATAGAAAGTTTACCTACAGTTCATGAACATAATCATAAGTTAAAGTTTTGTTTTGAAATAATGACCATAAATAACTGTACCTAAAAAGTATATAAATTTTAACATTGTCACATACCAAATTTGTTTTTGAATTCTAACTCTTGTCCCTTAAACAAATCTTACTTAAAATGTCCCGTGAGTATATTTAACGTGATTTCTTAGAGTATGGGGTCGTTTTGTTTTAAAAGAACACACTTTGCACTTGTGCCACTGTATTTTTGATGAATCCACATGTTTCACCATATGTTGGATGAGATTAGGTTTTCTAATAGTTTTATAGTCGCAATTGGCACAATATAATAACTCCTGTTTTATATGCTTTCTGGTATGTAGAATGAATACGTTTTTGTTCACACTTTCATATTTACATGTATAGCATATGTACTTCTTCAAGTCTTCAGCTTGCTGATGGACGAGATGCAGATGCCTAGTTAGACTAGGTTTAAAGTAGTAAACTTTAGCACAAATTTCACATACATATTGTTTCTTTTCCGACTTTGGTGGATAATGCCTGGCCTAAAAATTTTAATTTAATTAATAAATAATATGTAATAATAACGACTCTCTGGGTATTTTTAGCACTGATGCCCAGAGGGAAGCAGGGTTACCTGCCGTGGAACAAAAACTGACACCTGACAGTAGGTATAAAATGCACACTTATGAAAATGAAGATTAATAATTTATGTTTAGGGTAGCTGCCTGGGAATCGCCAGGGCACGTCTGGAGCCGGCGCTGGAGGTGACAGCAATCGGGATGTCGGTGGCAGGGTGTTGAAGAGGCAAGCCCCGGTCATACAATCAGCTACAGCCCAACAACAAAAACAACAACCACAAGTAAGCCAAACAACAACAAGAGCTCCACTCGCTGAAGATGCTGCGCTGGAACATCAGCCGGCGCTCACTCAAGCGGGACAACCGAGGCAGCACATAAAATGGACTGTGTCTATAAATGAAAACATTTTGCGTTTCTATTACAAGGTGACGAACCTTCGATGAACCTAGTCGATCGAGAAACGATCGACTATCGACAACAACTGTATGCCGAATTTTGCAGGGAGTACCCAGAAATTGAAGTATCGGAACAGCGAAAAGCATATCAATACCGGGTAATTATAAGAAATAATCTTATCCCAGAGGCACGCGATACCATCAGAAGCGAAGTCAAACGGGAGATTCATAACCAAGAGCTACTTATGGATATAGTCCATAAGTCCATAATGAAATCCCTAATGAGCAGATTCCTGAGCCTCTCATACAAGAAACTCAACCTGTTAATACACAGCAGGACAACAAAGAGTTGCACGATAGCTTGGTAAGGGAAATGACACGTGTCGTACAAGAGTTTAATGGTACAAACCCACTTAACAGACCACCGGTACCAAAAATAAACTCTTGTAAGAAACTAGGTGCGCTGTTACAAATTATGAACACAAGTCATACCCAATTATCTGGTGGAAGCATATACATTAGAATATTTGCATATGCTGATTTACTGTGCAGCAACAGCAATTGCTAATGTTATGCACATTAAGATCAGAACACGACGGGGAAATAATATTGGAAGGACTGAAAAAAGAATTGCACCCTGGAAAAAAAAGACTGTTGAAGAAAATTGAATTATTGCGCTGGGATATTGGACAAATTACGGAACACATCCGAGGAGTAAGAAGTCGAAAAGTAATTAAAAGAGCTGAAGAAATAATTCTGAACACTACAAGACACTCATAACATGATCCAGAAAACAACACAGCTCAACACTGCCTAGACACATTAAAACAAAAACTCTCCGTTTATTCAGGTCGCCTAGGGAGATACAAAGTTAGTAATAACCGTAATTACGACAATATACTTTTTGAGTATGCAGAAAAGGCTTTCTATAGGAAATTGAATTCCACTGTAGAAAATGTAAATAAATCCTACCCAAGCCAAGAAGAAATTCATTAGTTTTGGGGAAACCAACTTTCGACGCCAGCTACTCATAACAACAATGTCGGATGGATTGAAGACACGACGAACAACTGTCAACACTACAGGAATATTCCTCATGAACCTTTCACTACTGAAGAAGTCTTGAACATTATCAAAGAGCTTCATAACTGGAAATCTCATGGACCAGACGGAGTTCAAAACTTCTGGCTAAAGAAGCTTTCAACTTCATAAGCTTTTAACAGTATTTATTAATAATACTACTTCTAATTCACAGGAAATACCATCATTTCTTACTCAGGGAACCACTTATATAATACAGAAGGATCAAAATAACACCCAAGATCCAGGCAAGTACCGCCCAATTACTTGTCTTCCAACTTTGTACAAATTGGTCACATCTTGTGGCCCGCGAATCTACTAGCACTGTGCTCTGAACAATATCATAGAGCCTCAACAGAAAGGCTGCGCTAGGGGCTCCGTGGGCTGCAAAGAACAACTTTCGACTCAGTTATTGCTAACCATGCATACACCAAAAAAAGAAACAACTTTACTGCCTTCATAGACTACCAGAAGACTTTTGATTCAGTGCCGCATGAATGGCTTATAGATATTTTGAAAATATATGAAGTCAATGATAATCTCGTGACCTTTTTGAAACATACAATAGCAGAGTGGAAGACTAAAATTCACCTTCAAATACTTGGTGAAATCAATAGCGAAACTGAAGATATCCCCATTAGCCGGGGCCTTTTCCAGGGGGACTCGTTGAGTCCACTTTGGTTCTGCCTAGCGATGAACTCACTATCTCAGCTGCTGAACTCCACTGACTCAGGATTTAGCATCAAAAATAACAACACTGTTGTGGCGAAGCTTACTACTAAATATAGTTAAAGGAAAGGTTTAGCCCGGAGGTTTCGATATGCAAGATGGCCAAAACATCGAGGCCATGGGTGAAAATGATATGTTCAAATATCTCGGAGTACAGCAATCGCGAAAAATTGACATAAACTAATGAAAACCTAACTAACTTTTGAGTTCGTCATCGGTCATATTTTAATAGTAAAAATTTGTTTAAGGCATTAAATACATACGCCTCTTCTGCGCTGAGCTCATTTGGAAATATAAAGTCGTCAAAAATGAATATATAGAGTCTTCAGCGGAAAGTAAGAACACTTCTCACAAAGGCGCAAAAACACGAAAAACACGAGAGAACAACATTACCTCGATATCAAGGGGGAAGAGGACTTATGAACATAGGTGAGCAATTGGATAAACAGGTTGCTAATTTAAGAACTTATTTTCAAATGCAGGCTGAGACATCTACCTTACATCGAGCAATCATCGCAGTAGATGATACAACGCCACTTAAACTGAGGGAACAAGAAATGCGCATAACCATCTGACTATGCAAGAAAAAATGCGGATCTGGATGATTAAACCTCTGCATGGGCGACATCTCAATGAGATTAGCGAAGAATAAGTCGACAATACAGCGTCGAACTATTCTTTGACATCAGGAAAGATGTTTCCCGAGACTGAGGGCTTTCTACTTGTCATTCAGGATTAGGTTATTCCAACTAAAAATTATCTGAAATATATTTTTTTAAAGATTGACAAGTCCAAAATGACAAATGCCGATATGGATGCCAAGTCCAAGAAACCATCCAACATCTTACCGTGGGCTGCCAAGCATTTGTCGGAACTGATTATAAAGAACCCACCATCTTCCTTATAATCAGTATGTCACATATTGCCAACCAGTGGCACATAATAGACCGGATCTCATACTAAATAATAAACTTGCCAGGAAAACAACGCTTATTAATGTGGCGATATTTAAACCAATAATTTGCGTGTTAAATACAACGAAAAGATCGCCAAGTATAGAGATCTAGAAATACAAATCAGGAGACAATGGAGAATGAAAAGTACCCAGACAGTACCTATTATTCTATCTACTACTGGTGTTATTCCCAAAAACCTCCTAGCGAACATAAAACAGCTGGGTCTAAATGAACATCTTTATAAGGCCCTGCAGAAAGCTGTACTCCTCGCGACGTCCAGATGTGTACGATAATTTCTGGGAAATACTCCAGTAAATCAAGTCACCTAGGGCTCGATACACGGAAAGAGTCCCACTAGAGCTCAATCCATTTGATACCGTAGTTATCTGGGATGAGTGAATTTTTCCCTTTGAGGGAGTGTGAGTCATATGGCTAAATATGGTAATAATGGCTTGGTTTTCACTCGAAGCCCCCTGGATCAGATGCTAAAAACACTAGAAAATGATGAGAATATGCACTTCAGTCTTGACAAGTGCCGTGTCTTAAATATAATCAAAGGAAAGATTTAGCTAGGCGGATTCGATATACAAAATAGTCAGAACATCGAGGCCATGGGTGAAAATGATATGTATAAATACCTCGAAGTAAAAGCAAGCGTGGAAGATTGACCATAAGCAAATGAAAACTGTGATAACTACTGAGTTTATATGAAGAGTAAAGCAACTACTTCGTTCACACCTTAACAGTAAAAATTTGTTTAAAGCACTAAACATTTATGCATGTTCCACGCTTAGCTATACCTCACAAAGGCATAAAAACACCATCCTCGTAGTGCAGTAGAAAGAACGACAATTAGAGAAACAAATTACTAATTTAAGAACTTATTTTCAGGTGCAGGCTAAGATCTATCGCATCTACTCTACATCGCGCGATTTGTGCAGTATATGACACAACACCGATCAAACTGAGGGAACCAGAAATGTGCATAAACTATCTCATTAAGGACGAAAAAGTGCCACCTGCATTGGTAAACCTCTGCACGAGTGACATCCCAATGGAGTCAGTGAAGACTATGTCGACAGTATAGCGTCGAACTATTACCTGACATCCAGATGTGTTGGCAGATGTTCCCAGAAACAGAAGGTTCATTATTTGTCATTCAAGATCAAGCTATACCAATAAAAAATTACCTTTAATATATTATGAAGTTCAAATCGACAAATGCTGATATGGATGTGAAACCCAAGAAATTACTGACAATCACCAAATCTACAAATTACCAACATCTTACTGAGGGCTGCCAGGCATTTGCTGCAACTGAATACAAAGAACGACAAGATTCAGTAGGGAAAATCCGTCATCAAGAAGTAGCTATCAAACTGGGAGTTATCCAATCAAACCATTTCCAATATTATCAATACGTCCCAGAGAGTATGCTTGAAAATGACAAGTTCAAGCTATATTGGGACCCCACTGTGCTCACAGACCAAACAGTGGCACACAATAGACCAGATCTCGTACGTGTTAATAAACTAACGAGACAAACAACACTAATCGACGTAGCGATTCCTAACAACAATATTCTGATTATAGAATCTTAGAAGTGGTTCAGCCACGTAGCGATTTCTAACAACAATAATCTGATTATAGAATCTTAGAAGTGGTTCAGCCACTTACGAACAAAGGTAAACAAATAGGTAAAGAAATAATAAATAAGACTTACTCACAATCAATTTAATTTAACTATCAGACGACCGGTTTCGCTTTCTACAATATGCAAAGCATCCTCAGATCTCGATACAAAGTTAAACAAATGCTGAAATAATAAAAACCCATATTAGGGTTTTTATTATTTCAGCATTTGTTGTATCCTGTATATTTCAAAATCATTTTAAAATGTAGCTTTTATCAACTTACAAACTAATTTAAAATTTTTTAAATTTTTTTACTCTTTCGCTGTAATCTTTCGTTCCGTGAGTGGTGATTCACCCTGTATGCAAGGAAAAATTTTATGTATGTAATTGTTGTTATTACTTACATGAAAATAAAATTCAAGCTGCGCTAGTTTTTTTATATTAAACAATAGTATTATTTAATATACTATCATATTAAATAATAAAATTTAACTATTTTTATTAGACCTATAATAATTATACTTCATATAATTTACATACCGATGCACGTCATTATCTACGTCGGAGATCGAGGTTGACATAGTTGCCAAAGTATAAAAAAATCCTGACTCCATTTTAAATCAAATTTTTCTTCATGTAATATGTCCTTTCAGAACGTTGGTTACCTTCTTATCTTAATTTTATTCACTGCCACCCTAAATAGCGTACTTGTATCAACACCATATCAATCTCGCAAGTTCTTCAACCATGAGGTTCTTCTTCGTCCTGGACTGCGTTTGCCTGCTATTTTTGCCTTGCATGATATTTTGTAGCAACCTATATTTGGGACCTCTCATTACATGTCCGAAATACTCCAGCTTTCTCTGCTTAATGCTTTATATGATCTCAGTATTCTTGCTGAGAGAATAATTTTAAAATTCTTCTATAGCACCACATTTCGAAAGCCTCAAGGCGATTTAGATTGATTTTATTCACAGTCTAGGACTCGACAGCATAAAGTGAGACCGAGAACACGTAGCAGCGAAGTAGGCGGATCCTTAATGCCAGTTTTAGGTTTCTACATAACACCTTGGACATCCTTCTAAAAGCAGCTCTAGTCTGCTCTATCCTGGATCTAATTTCGCCGTGACTTTCTGCGTTACAATTTAATTGCTGACCAAGGTAAACGATTTTATCAACTTGCTCAAGTTTGGTATTATTTACATATATAGACGGCTGTTGTTTACTTATTACGAGTATTTTGGTTTTCCTTATGTTAAGATCCAGACCTGCCTCCCTACAACTATCAACGACACTATCAAGTAGTGTTTGCAGATCTTCTTGACTAGAAGCTAGGAGTACTGTATCATCCGCATATCGCAAATTATTGATGACTTCGCCGTTCACAAGTATTCCTTCTTGTTTTTCAGAAAGTGCTTTTCTGAAAATTCAATCAAATAGATCACATAATTATTGCAAAAGTATTACCATCTCTTTACAAGGACTATTTAAATTCTTACGTGACATTTTTGAAATAAAACATACCAATTTTGTTCTAAAAAGAACAGATTTTATTAAATAGGTGAAAATATAAAACAAGAGGTATTCACTTTAAAATTCAAAATAATAAAGTACAAAAAGTGTCAACACCGCAACTGTCAAATAAGTGTTACCAATTTATGCCAAATTGCCATCTTCGTTCAATTAGTTACAGTGTGTTCCGAACAAATGTTTTTCATAAAAACTATTTATAATGCATTTATACAAATTAAATGAAACATATTATTGTGTATTTCTTTAAGTTAACATTAATAGAAATTTTTAAATATTATTTCTACGCGTATATAATAAAATATGTCTAGTGGCTGTAATGCCAGTGTACTCGGCAAAGTGATTCTAAAAAAGAACACACCTATCGCCTAAATATTTCGTGTTGGTATCATGTGACGTCATGGGCTATGACGCCGATGACGTGCATCGGTATGTAAATTAGATGAAGTGTACATACCTATATCTGTCAATTAAAGAAACGAGTATTTATTATGCATTATTTTGTATTCAACTATACATATCCTTTTATTAGTTAAATTAATTAACTACAACTACAGTGCTGAATACGGCTCTGATTAGACTGATTGACATATATCGACAATCTAATAGCAACACGTGTCTGAGAGTTTTAGCAACACTGATCTCCATAAGCGCAATTTTATTTTCTTAACTTGAAAGAAAGCATAGTTAGTATACCGTTTTGTGCGTCTTAAAGCGTTTTATTTTGCATTTTTTATATTCATTCATAATATTAAAATAAATTTGCATAGAATATTTTTGTTGTGGCAAACCAAAAGCATTTTAGTAGAGCATCAGACGTTCTAAAATCCCAATGCGTTATAATCGGGTCACATTCTAGTATATAATATTTACACAAAACAAAAACTTACTTTATGCCTTTCCAGATTTATTTTGCGTCCAAATAAAGAATTACAAATATCACATTTAAAACAAATGTCTCCTTTATTTACATGCATCCTCAATAAATGCATTTTTAAACGATGTACTACAGATGTACTGTAAGTACATTTATCGCAAGTATAAACTTTATCAGACTCCATTGGATGCTTATATAGTCTGTGATTTTTTAAGTGACGGGAATGGGGAGTTGTAAAATTACATTGATCACAGTTATAATATTGTTTATCCTCTTTACTCTTGTGGATTATTAAGTGAAGTTTGAAATTTCTCATGCATGTTGATTTGAATTCACAAAGCTTACATTTTAAAATACGGTCAGCCTAAAACAAAATAAGAAATAAAATTAATCAAGTGTTGAATTAATGAAATGCTTTTAATAATATAAAGTTTTATTCAAAATGAGTTTTAAACTAAATAACACCACTGATCAAGTATTCTCTTTAAGTACTCACAAATGGGCAAGTTACCAAAGGCAGTTAAAGACCTTTGTGGCATTCATTGGCCTAACAGCCGCATATCAAGCTGGGCAGTAGAAACCTTCCTGTACACACGGGAAATAGTAACCAAACAGAAAACTAAACAATGGCCTCCCCCAGAGCTCAGAACTCACACTGCTGTTATTTAGTATGATTATAGCTGATATATCCAGCCGACTGAGCACTTACAACCCAAAACTCTTCGTTCCAAAACTCCGAGGATAATCTAACAAATGATCTTGAAAGGCTGATTAAATACTTTCAAATAAAACCGAAAACCGAAGTTAGCTATTCCCACTTAAACAACAAAATGACTCACATACAATTTAAGATGTACATTTCAACAAACTGCTCACGCACAATTATAACCCCAAATGCCTAATCATCACTCTGGATAGAACGTTCTCGTTTAACAAATCCCTGGAAAACAATGCAGCAAAGCTTCTTCTTCTTTAAGTTCCATTTTCTATCGAAGGTTGGAAATCATCATGGCTATGCGGACTCTGTTAACTGCCGCTCTAAAAAGTTCGGCACTACTCCATTAAAACCATTCCCTTAAGTTCTTAAGCCAGGATATTCTTCGTCTTCCCACATTTCGCTTTCTTCGGATTTTGCCTTGCATAATAAGTTGTAATAATGCATATTTTTACCCTCTCATCACATGTCCTAAGTACTCAAGTTTTCGTCTTTTGATAGTTAATATTATTTCCGCCTCATTTCCTATCCCTCTAGTTACTTCCACGTTTGACATTCTTTGAATCCATGATATTCGTAGGATTCTTCTGTAACACCAAAATTCAAAGGCGGCCAACTTGTTCAGAAAGACTTGTTTTAGTGTTCACACTTTCAACCCATACAGAAGAATAGAGAACACGTAACATCGAAGCATTCTCAGGCGTAGTTCTAACCTTATATCCCGACAACAAAGAAACTTTTTAAGTTTAATGAATTATGTACGTGCTATTTCAATACGTGTCTTAATTTCTTTGGTTGGGTCTACATCTGATGTTATCCATGCTCGTAAGTATTTATAGTTATTAACACTCTCAATTGCAGTATCTTCAAAAGTCAATTGGATATTTGCATGTGCAAATTTAGTCATGATCATGCATTTAGTTTTATTTAAATGTATCTTCACTCCGTACTCATGACAGCGTTTATTAAGGCGTTGCATTATGTTCTGTAAATAATTGTTATTATCCGTCATTATTACTGTATCGTCTGCAAAACGTAAGTTATTCAAAACTTTTCCACTGATAGATATACCTTCTATTGCGTTTGAGAGCGCTTCTTGAAATACCGCTATTTTGATATTTTGGGTGTACTGGCTGTCAACTCTTACCTTGGCAGTTTGATTCCAGTATAAATTAGATATAATTTTCATATCACGACTGTCAATATTTTTGCTTTTTAATATATCTATATGCTTTTTATGTTGAACCTTATCAAATGCCTTTTCAAAGTCAAAACATAAGTACATGTCATGATTCATGTCCATGCATCTCTGAGCCAGCACATTCAAGCCGAACAAAGCATCTCTTGTACTCATACCATTTCTAAAGCCAAATTGGTGTCACTAATTTCATATTCAAGAGTTTTAACAATTCTGCTGTGAATTATTCTCAAAAATGTTTGAAGTGTGTGACTCATTAAAGCTATTGTTCTGTGATCTGAGCAAGTTGTTGCACTTGACTTTTTGGGAATTGCTACAAAGGTCGATTGCAGCTATTAATATCTGGGGATTGTGGCAGTCTAATATATTAGATTAAAGGGTCCAACCATTACATCAATAACATCTACATCGATGAGTTTTAATAATTCGATGGGCACATCATCTGCCCCAGTAGCTTTACCCTCTTTTGTGTTTTTGATGGCATAGATGACTTCTTCTCTTAACATTGGTGGTCCGGGATCCTCGGTGATTTCTAATATCAGTTCTTCTCTTTCATCATTAAATAGTTGTTGGATGTAATTGGTCCAGTGACATAATCTCTCCTTCGTATCAGTAATAATATCCCCTTTAACATTTTTAAGAATACTCGTTCTTGTACGTTTTCTAGAACCTGTCATTTCTTTGATTTTTGTTTGTGTAAATTAAAGCTATCATACTTTTTATTCAGATCTTCTATTTTCTTGCATCTGTCGGAGAGCCATCTCTCTTTTGCCTCTCGAATTTTCTTTCTGATGTTTCTCTGAATTTCTTTGTATTTATTCAGGTCTTTTGCTTTATGTTTTCTTCGTTCTTCCATAAGTTCAAGAAATTCTATTGTCATCCAAGGTTTTGTTTTATCTCCAAGTGGTTTGAGGGTTTCTTTTCCAACTGACACAAGGGCATGTTAAAGTTTTCCCCACTTTTGGTCAGTAGTTATAGTTTCCGCATTATCTTCTTTGACTTTCCTTAAGTTCTCGTTTATTTTAAATTTCGTTTCCACATATGTGTTGTCTTGTTTGAGACGTCTTGTATCCATGATTTTCTTGATGCTAGAGCTGTTGACCTTCTTTAGTTTCACTCTCATTGACAAAACAACCGGGTTGTGATCGGAGGATATGTCCGCTCCTGGATAAGTTTTAGATGATATTATAGAATTTCTTTATCTTCTGTTGACGATAATAGAATCTATTTGATTTCTAACTATTTTGTTGTTATTGTCAGCTGGTGACCTCCATGTATATAGTCTACGTTTAGGAAGTTTAAACAAGGTATTTGTAATTATGAGTTTCTCATTGACACAGAAATCGACAAGCCTATCGCTACGTTCATTCCTTTCCTCGAGTCCATATCGCCCCACGCAATTCTCCACTTCTCCTTGGCCCACTTTAGCGTTCAAATCGTCTATTATAATATTTATATCTTGTCTTTTAGTTAGACTTAAGACATTGTCGATTTGTTCATAGAAGGCCTCTATGGTGTCTTAATCCTTGTCTGCAGTGGGTGCATATACTTGGATTATATTTATTTTACGTTTTAGATGAGAGTTTAGAGACAGCATTAATACTCGATCAGAATAGGGAACAAAGTTATAAACAGCTTTCTGATAATTCTTATCAACTATAATGCCAACTCCTTTTGGAGTTGTTGTTTCCAGAATAATACATTGTTCCATTTCTGGTGTTACATTTTCCTGATTCAGGCCATTGTATATCGCTAAGGCCCAGTATGTTAATTTTCATTCTGCACATTTCCGACACGGCGTTATCCAGTTTGCCTGATTGGCATAAACTTCTTACGTTCCATGTTCCGATTTTCAAGGCTATAGAGTTATTCTTATTTGCTTGACAGGGATTTATCGTGATGACCTGAGAGGCCCTGTCGTCTAAATCTGATTGTCCTCTCCTGCCGGATCTTGGATTCCAAGCTCCATGATCATTAAGTAAATTATCCATTAGTGGATCCATGATGATTTTTACTAAGGATATCCTTACGGATCTTTAATGTGGTAGTGTTCCCCTGGCTTTCCACATCTCAATGCCGTTGACTAATTTAGTTCTTCCGCCTTCGGAGTTAATTTCTATGCTCCAGGGTAATGAAGTGCCCTACCACGTGTCGGTTCTTCCACCCGTAGCTGTTGACCAACAGGTGGGGAATTACTTATAATCTAATCAGGAGATCGGTTCACGATATAAAAGCGGGGAAAACTTTCAGCAAGTGAAATTGAATAGGCACTACAACTAAAGTAAAAACAAAGGGTCCAGCACGAGCACAGGTCATGACAGTTAAGGATGTTTGAATCGATGGAGATTACCCTAAGGTTGTATGGTCTGAAAAATAAATAAGGTCAAATTTCCACAGTGCAATGGCTATACACATGTGTTATACGAAAATTGTGGTGTAGCAATTTGCTTCACTAAAACGAAGAACGGTTTCAAAAATTTTCATTGTACCTAAAATATTGTTTTGAGTGAGTATATCAGCAGTGGCCAAACTTTCTTAACAGTGTGCCGCTATCTGTTTATGAAAAGTTAGTCGTGCCACCAAAAACTTTCTACAAACAAAAAATTCAATAGGTAGGTGGAATGTGTATGAAATAACAAAAAATATAGGTAGCTACAAAAGTATATTATTCCACGAGCATGTAATGATGGCTATTGATGAAGTGTCGCAATTCATCAGAGTTAGTAATAGCCATTACATGCGAGTAGAATACTATACTTTTTCTACGACCTTTTTTATTTTAAATAGTAAAAAAATATAATTATCAACTACTCGAGATTGTTTATTACTAGTAGTACAGTACATGTTTATGGTTGATGTGGTTAATGTGGCTTGTGAATCTGAATTTTCTTAACACATTTAGCGCCATGTGCCCACCGGTGGGCATTTTCATTATTTCAATTAAGACCGAGTGCCCACCGGTGAGCATTCGGTCGGTTGCTTCAAGTCACCGTGGTCACCCGTGGACACGATTTATATTAGTTTGACGTATGTTGACGTATTCAGTGGTCCTAGGACCAGGTCCCAGTTATTTTTTTCGCATTTTTACGAGCATAAGCTGGATTTTGTCGCTGAGACATAGTCTTGTAGCATGCACTGCACCTTTTTCTGGTAACCCTCTTTTGTCCCTCGTATTCTTTCAGGAAATGTTTTATCTTGGAAGTGGAAGGCCTTGATAGAATTGGATTTAAATCTTGATAAACCAAAGCATCGATGATATTTTCTTTGAATTCTATTATGCCCATTTTGTTATTATTAATTTTGTTATATAGATGCAGAGCATTTACCATAGCTGTTGCAGTAACAAAATGAAAAGCGAGTCGCTTATACCACTTGACGGTTCTTCTCACGTATAGCGCATAAGATGCCATCTGGTCAGACTGGTCGACAAAAGCTTTTCCTTTGTTGTAAT